CTCCCCCACCTCCCCCTATCACCGCAAACTAACACCCCAGGGTCACGCGTTCCAAAACTGGCATAACGTGTCCCAAACATATCCTCAACCTCAACACCACTGTACCCATCTCCCCCCTACCTCTCACCTATCGTAGTGCTTTCAAAGACCCCAATTGGCACAATGCTATGTGTGAAGAGTTTAATGCATTGATTAAGAATGATACATGGGAATTAGTACCCCCCCTCCCCTCACCAAAATATCATAACCGGAAAATGGCTTTTTTTAAAAATGGCTTTTTAGGCACAAACTTGGCTGTACAGGTGAGTTAACCAAGTACAAAGCCCGATGGGTTGTTTGGGGCTTCAACTAGAGATTCGGAGTCGACTATGATGAGACATTTAGCCCTGTTATCAAGAAGACATCAGTTGCACGTCAAAAATGCCTTTCTTCATGGCCATCTGCAGGAAGTTGTCTATGCCTCTCAGCCATCAAGATTCCAGGATCCTCACAGGCCCGACTATGTATGCAGGCTCAAGAAGGCTCTCTATGGCTTGAAATAGGCTCCTCGTTCGTGGTACCAACGATTTGCTGGGTTCATCTACACGCTGGGTTTTCGAGGGTGTAAGTCAGACACCTCTCTCTTTATCTACTCTCATGGGACACACACTGCCTACCTACTCCTTTATGTTGATGACATCGTCCTCACGCTTCCTCTCACTCCCTCTTTCAGCGCGTGACTGAGCGCCTTAAGAGGGAATTTGCTATGACTGACATGGGCGACCTTTATTTTTTCTTGGGCATCAATGTTCATCGGACAGCTCATGGTCTATTTTTACATTAGACGCAGTTCACGCACGACATCCTTGAGCGTGTCGGCATGATCACTTGTCGTCCCATCTCCACTCCAGTTGACACGAAGGCCAAACTGTCTCGCACATCAGGCTCCCTGGCAGCCGACCCAGCTCTCTATCGCTCCATAGTTGGAGCCCTCCAATATCTCACATTCACCAGGCCAGACATCTCCTACTCTGTTCAGCAGCTCTGTCTCCATCTACACGCCCCCCGAGATGTCCACGTCACGGCTATGAAGCGCGTCCTACGCTATCTCCGTGGCACCTCCACCTACGGGCTTATTCTGATGCTGATTAGGCTGGATGCCCCGACACTAGACGATCCACATCAGGTGTTTTCCTAAGGGACAACCTCATCTCTTGATCCTCTAAACGCCAGGCCACTATTTCCTGATCTAGTGCTGAAGCAGAGTACCGAGCCGAAACCAGCTGGATCCGAGATCTTCTTCTCGAGGTACAACAGCCCCTACGCCGCGCCACACTCATCTTGTGCGATAACGTGAGTGCTGTTTACCTCTCCACCAACCCGGTCCAACATTTGCGCACCAAGCACATTGAGGTAGACATTCACTTTGTTCGTGACAAAGTGGCCCTTGGCCAGATTAGAGTTCTTCATGTGCCATCCTCATCACAATACGCCGACATATTCACAAAAGGCCTCCCGTCCATATTATTTCAAGATTTTCGGACAAGCCTCGAGATTCGCCCACCACCGATGCCGACGTAGTCGGGAGCATGCTAAATATATGTTGTATTTATGTTAAATATATATTCTATATTTATTGTACACATATTGTTTCCTATTGTAGAATCCTACCATAATTAGGATTAGGAATAGCTTGTGTATATAAACACATGTACTCCCACATTATTGTTTAAGGAAAATCATAATTCTTCACCAAGTGTGGTGATGCCTACCTCGCAGACATGAAAGCCATTCCAAAAAACACGGCCTGGACTGCTCTCTTTTGGCCCGCATAGTCAAATGCCAGCGGCAGCAGTTCATGCAGGGTTAGGAAAGCCATTACCCCACCAACTGGAAAATAGTAACAAGAAGAACGTTCAGCCCCCGTGCTTCTACTAGTCAATTTATTACTTAAACCTTTACAGAAAGAATGAAAACCAAACAAATTGAACCTGATCCAAGGAGCCCCTCTAGAACTTCTGGACTCAAGCTGCTTGGAAATAGATAGGCTGGGTGGGCAAACAAATTTGAAATCATGATACCGCTTCAACAATCCACAATTTTGGACGTCCGAAAAAAAAAGTTTTACACTTTTATTTTCTTATTTGGTAATGAATATGTGACTCAAAATATTTCTATCATTTAAACAAATTCTAACCATACACTCTACTTTTCGACAGTGTTTTTTTGTAAAGTTTTTTTTAAAGTGTTTTTAAAAAGTTTTTTAAACAAATTCTAACCATACACTCTACTTTTCGAGAGTCAAATTGTAAAGTTTTTTTTTATGGGAGGGAGGAAGGGAGTATTATAGTATCTTATAAAAATACAGGATCCTGGAACAAACCTACAATAATTACACCCAGGGGCTCTGCCAAGCCAGAAAGTGTGGCAATCTTGAATGCCTGCCATTTGCTGAACACGAGCATAAGTAGGGATAGTTATTGGGAAAATTATGCAAATAATGAAAAGATAGATTGACAATAGATATTTCATTCCACCGACCACAACAACGTTGAGATTAAGGTGATGATAAGTTAAGGGAGATGTTTTAATAAGCAATAGGAGAATAAATAATTGAAAATAAATCAAGGGAGAAAATTCAATTATAAATCCCACCACTGCCGCATCAAGCCGGTGAAAATACAGAAATGGAGAACCATTACCTCTGAGTTGCAAAATAAACTGGAAGTGCAACTGCAACACCCTGTGAATGAGAAAGTAAAGAGGTTAGTTCCAAAAATCAGAAGACAAAATCTTTTGTGAATTATGGTCATCATTCAATTGCTACTCAAAAAAAAAAAGATCATCTTTCAATTTGAGGAGCTTATAATCACATAAATCTTGACCCTGGCTGGCATGGGATGCTTTATGCCCCTTAGGCTCAATGGGGAAACCGATTCCCCGATCTCAGCTTAATTTTAGGTCTGCCAACAGCTTGGGCTCACTGAGAACAAAACAAAGATCCAATCCAAAATATAATCTACCTAACGACTATAACTATTTGTTTAAATTACCATTATACTGTGGATTGGATTAGTTTTTACCATCTGTATTTTCATGCTATATTGTTTTTTACCACCCTTTATTTGATAAATTTTGTATAATGTGCAATGCAATGGGCGGTTCATAGTTGTTACTGTCCTAGTAAATTCATTTTAGGTCTAGAACGTTTCATTTCAGCTCAAGCTTCCAACGTTACACAATATGTATATGCACCAGAAATGGAGAAGAATCGTGTGATTCACAATACATATCACACTATTTGATACAAAAAAAGATGACTTAGGATTCCAACAATATAAAACCACACTTTCCTTGCACATGGAAGGAATCCGTGGCTAATGATGTATTTTGGACTTCGGAATTAGTGGATGAATTTAATTTGGTGTTTTGCTATTTCATCAACAATACAATGACATTAAATTAATTATTTTCTAACTTTTGAGCATTTCTTTATGTTCAAGGTATGATTTTCGTTTTCAAAGATTTTTATTGATATACTTTTAAATCATACAATACAAGCCATTTCGCAATTCATGATCCAAATATTGATCAAATGACTCACAGTTTGACAAATATGGTGCTATTAGGGTTTTACAGTCATTAAAGTCATTAAAGGGAGAGCAGTGGAGCTCATAAGAGATGTTGTTCTCAAGTAATTCTCTCATATCCCCTTTAAGCATGTATACATATTAATGTTAAGTAATTTCATGGTTATAATACAAATATACATCCCATATATATACACATATAGTTACAGCGAGAATATGAGAATGGTGCATTTTCGATCGTTGTGATGCATTGTACACTTGTAGTAGTTCATTTTCGAAAAGTTTAATTTATTTACAAAATTGCCACCGCGATTTTTTCAAAAAAAATCAGAATTTTTTATTTTCAATAGCCCTTAAATCTTAACACTATGTTTGGTTCAAGGAATTTGAAAGGGAAAAGAAAAGAAAATGAAGTGGAAAGTACTTTTTCTTGTTTGGTTAGAGAGGAAAAGAAAGGAAAAGTGGAAGGAAAACAAAATGAGAAGGTAAAATGTACTAAGTGGAAGGAAAACCAAATTCCTCCCGTTTTGATGAGGAAAATGAGAGATAATCATTTTCTTTTCTTTTCCTTCCAATTCATGGTTGTTAAGTCGACAAGTCGAGTCAGTGACGGGGAGACTAGTGGACTAGGCGATTAGTCGTAGACTAGTCCACAAATCACAATTAGTACTAAAATTTTAAACATTATATATATATATCTACATTAACCCAACATATACATACATACATACATACATATATATATATATATATCTGTGTGTGTGTGACAAAATACCATAACCAAAGCAAAACCAAAATATTAACATAAATCAGAACCAAACAATCTGAAATATTAAGAAAACCAAACAAATTTTGAAAAAATTATAGTTTATTTTTTTGTTTAATGAACCAAATTAAAGAAATTTACACCAAATTAAGAATATACTATAATCTAGAACCCTTAAAATACTAGAATAAGAAAAAAACCAAAATATTAACTGAAATTAGAAAAAAAATCTAGAATATTAAGAAAACAGAAGAAAACAGAAAATTTTAAAGTATAGTATACTTTATAGTTTAATAAACCAAATCAATGAAAATTAAATCAAATAAAGAGTATATTTTAGTGATAACAAAGTAAACATTGAGAAATCTTACCCATGAAGTTGAGATCTTGAGAAGATGTAGACGGAGAACAGGAAGACGTCGCTGATGAAGGAGAGTCGCGACCATGGATGGCTGGATTGACTGTCGATTGGATGGATTGCATCGAAGAGGCCGTGTTTTATCGAAAATTTTAAATAGTAATGAAATTTGGGTCGGGTCGAGTTGGGTTGGGTCGAGTCAACTTGGGTTAGGTCAAATTGGGCAATTTATTTCAGCAACTCGGCGTCGCTTACGCGCGACTAAGCATCGCTTTGCACAGTTTATCGCCTAGTCTGCCCTAGGCTCTAGTCGAAGAGCAAAGCGCCATCCCAAAACCGCCCGGACAACTAGTCGTGTCCTAGGCGACGACTTCACAACAATGCTTCCAAATTCCTTGAACCAAACATAGTTTAAATCTAATGGATCTTATGCATTCTCATTTCTTTCACTGTGCATCATTCTCATTTATACATACATACATACATACATGTTAGGCTTCAACTCAAGGTGAAAGGAGGAGGGATCAGGGCTGAATGGATTAAGGGGGAAAGTAGGTATCTTGGGTTGGTTTTGGAAGAAGATTTAAGTAAAGGGGTGGAAGTATTTAGAGGAGGGATGTCCTGATAAGAAAATGGCAGGAAAGGGAGGATAGGTCTTAGACTATATTTTGTATAAGGAAGGGTGAAAGTGAATTGTATTTAGAGGAGGGAATGGAGGGACTGAATTGAAGAAAGAAAAGAGAGAAAAAAAAAGGTAGGAGATTCTTTTGTTGTTTTATTTAGGGGATAAACGAAGTTGGTGTTTAAGAGATATAACACACTCTTATCTTAACTTGGGGTTAAGTCTAGAATTTAATTAAGATATAACACACTTAATTAAATATCTAGAACCTAAAACTCACACTTAAGGTAACCACCCTTAATATATAGAATTAGGAATTTAAACAAAGAATACAACAAGTGTATTATTTGATAGAAATGAGATTACCAAACTGTTTTTTTTACCAAGGCCTATGGCCGAATATATACATACATGCACAAGGAATACAGCCACTCATAATCCTATCACAAATCAAGAAAATAATGTCCATTTGTCGTATGTCCTTAGTGGAATGATTTAAGGGGAATAAGGATCTTGTTTGGCTTGGTTTAAGGGCTGTCTCATTCAACCATATATGGGAGGATCATCACAAGATGTTATGATTGATTAAAGTGATTTCTTTTGACTTATTTTGAGGAAGAATTCGACCATATGATAAGGGACAAAGTGGAATATTTAGTGGCTGGTTTTGGATGATTATACATTATGGATTTTGTCATCTTGTGTGTGATTTCAATAAAGGTGATATGGAGGTTCTAAAAGTTGATTTCCTTGGTTTTATTGAATGGCCTAGCTCGGCTTTTATTGAAGGAAAGAAAGGGGAATGACTCTCTTTGTTTGAATGTGAGAAAAGTCAACAAAGAGACAAATAGCTACTGTTCACCTTTTGACTTAAAATGGAAGGGATTTCGGCCAGATTATGGTGTGGATTTTAAGTGTTTATTTTAGTCAAAAACATGACAATTTTGTTGAAAAAACAGAAGGATTTTCGGCCAAAGAGGGGAGTACAGGATGGTCTCCTTTTGATGGTGGTTTGGGTTGTTTTGGGGTGATTGGTTCGGCCTTTAGTAATCCAAAAGGACTATGGCTAGAATTTGGGTTTTGATGATAAATTCATTCCAAAAAGGATCAAGACACCTAGACATTAATCCATTGATTTGTTTAAGGACTTGGGATTCCATATTAGTAACCTGGGGTATAACATCCTCCCCTTCTTCAAAAGAGTTTGTCCTCAAACTCGGAAGTTCTTTTAGTTCAAAGTATGGACTGAGATCTTTGATATTGAATGTAGCGGACATACCATAGTCTCCTGGTAGATTGACCTTGTATGCATTCTCATTGATCTTTTCTACAATCTCGAATGGACCATCAGCTCTTGGCAATAGTTTGGATTTACGTTTTGTGGGAAAACGTTCTTTTCTCAGAAGAATCCAAACCAAGTCTCCGGGTTGGAAACTTGTGCTCTTTCTTCTTTTGTTGATCCGTGTACTAACTTGTTCATTCATAGCTTCAATTCTTTCCCGAACCTTGATGTGAAGGTCCTGAATCTCCTTGGATCTTTTGTCAGCTTCCCAAGTGTATTTTGTATCTGTCATGATAGGATCAATCTCAAGTGGGGTTAGAGGGTTCGAACCATAGACAATCGTAAAGGGAGATAACCTTGTAGTCTTGTTTGGGGTTCTGTTGTAGGCAAACTCAGCATGTGGTAGTAACTCTTCCCATTGTTTGATGTTCTTCTTGATGAGGGTTCGGAGAAGAGTTCCAAGGGTTCGGTTGGTGACTTTGGTTTGTCCATCAGTTTGTGGATGGCTAGATGTACTAAACTTGAGTTTAGTACCTAATTTTCTCCACAAAGTCATCCAAAAGTGGCTAAGGAATTTTGTATCCCTATTCGAGACCATACTTCGAGGAATGCCATGGAGTTTGACAATCTCTCGGAAATAAAGATCAGCCACTTGTGATGCATCATAAGTAGTAACACACGGTACAAAGTGGGCCATCTTTGAAAAGCGATCCACCACAACCATGATGGAATCTTTTCCTCGTTGAGTCCTTGGCAGCCCAGTAATGAAATCCAAGCTAATGTCTTCCCATGGTGCGTAGGGAACAGGCAAAGATAGATGCTTTCCTTGAGGTAGCGAATGACCTTTTGCCAAGTGACAAGTGTGGCAGCGTTTAACGAAGTGCTCAACATCTCACTCCATTTTGGGCCAATAGTAGTGTTCTCTCATCATCATGTGAGTCTTGTCGACCCCATAATGACCAGCAAGGCCTCCACCATAGTTACAGAATTCGCTTACCTAGCCGCGATTTCCGAATTGGTACGAATCGTACCGGATCGCAAGTCGCCGGCGTACCGATCGCCACCGGTACGGCGGTCCAAATCGGTGTGGTACGGCGCTCCAATTCGCAATTCGCCGGCGATCCA